CTCTCTCTCTCTCTCTCTCTCTCTCTCTCTCTCTCTCTCCTCTCTCTCTCTCTCTCTGTCTCCTCTCTCTCTCTCTCTCTCTCTCTCTCTCTCTCTCTCTCTCTCTCTCTCTCTCTCTCTCTCTCTCTCTCTCTCTCTCTCTCTCTCTCTCTCTCTCTCTCTCTCTCTCTCTCTCTCTCTCTCTCTCTCTCTCTCTCCTCTCTCTCTCTCTCTCTCTCTCTCTCTCTCTCTCTCTCTCTCTCTCTCTCTCTCTCTCTCTCTCTCTCCCTCTCTCTCTCTCTCTCTCTCTCTCTCTCTCTCTCTCTCTCTCTCTCTCTCTCTCTCTCTCTCTCTCTCTCTCTCTCTCTCTCTCTCTCTCTCTTCTCTCTCTGTCCCTCCCTTCTCTCTCTCTCTCTCTCTCTTCTCTCTCTCTCTCTCTCTCTCTCTCTCTCTCTCTCTCTCTCTCTCTCTCTCTCTCTCTCTCTCTCTCTCTCTCCTCTCTCTCTCTCTCTCTCTCTCTCTCTCTCTCTCCTCTCTCTCTCTCTCTTCTCTCTCTCTCTCTCTCTCTCTCTCTCTCTCTCTCTCTCTCTCTCTCTCTCTCTCTCTCTCCTCTCTCTCTCTCTCTCTCTCTCTCTCTCTCTCTCTCTCTCTTCTCTCTCTCTCTCTCTCTCTCTCTCTCTCTCTCTCTCTCTCCTCTCTCTCTCTCTCTCTCTCTCTCTCTCTCTCTCTCTCTCTCTCTCTCTCTCTCTCTCTCTCTCTCTCTCTCTCTCTCTCTCTCTCTCTCTCTCTCTCTCTCTCTCTGTCCTCCCTCTCTCTCTCTCTCTCTCTCTCTCTCTCTCTCTCTCTCTCTCTCTCTCTCTCTCTCTCTCTCTCTCTCTCTCTCTCTCTCTCTCTCTCTCTCTCCCTCTCTCTCTCTCTCTCTCTCTCTCTCTCTCTCTCTCTCTCTCTCTCTCTCTCTCTCTCTCTCTCTCTCTCTCTCTCTCTCTCTCTCTCTCTCTCTCTCTCTCCTCTCTCTCTCTCTCTCTCTCTCTCTCTCTCTCTCTCTCCTCTCTCTCTCTCTCTCTCTCTCTCTCTCTCTCTCTCTCTCTCTCTCTCTCTCTCTCTCTCTCTCTCTCTCTCTCTCTCTCTGTCCCTCCCTTCTCTCTCTCTCTCTCTCTCTCTCTCTCTCTCTCTCTCTCTCTCTCCTCTCTCTCTCTCTCTCTCTCTCTCTCTCTCTCTCTCTCTCTCTCTCTCTGTCCCTCCCTTCTCTCTCTCTCTCTCTCTCTCTCTCTCTCTCTCTCTCTCTCTCTCTCTCTCTCTCTCTCTCTCTCTCTCTGTCCCTCCCTTCTCTCTCTCTCTCTCTCTCTCTCTCTCTCTCTCTCTCTCTCTCTCTCTCTCTCTCTCTCTCTCTCTCTCTCTCTCTCTCTCTCTCTCTCTGTCCCTCCCTTCTCTCTCTCTCTCTCTCTCTCTCTCTCTCTCTCTCTCTCTCTCTCTCTCTCTCTCTCTCTCTCTCTCTCTCTCTCTCTCTCTCTCTCTCTCTCTCTGTCCCTCCCTTCTCTCTCTCTCTCTCTCTCTCTCTCTCTCTCCTCTCTCTCTCTCTCTCTCTCTCTCTCTCTCTCTCTCTCTCTCTCTCTCTCTCTCCTCTCTCTCTCTCTCTCTCTCTCTCTCTCTCTCTCTCTCTCTCTCTCTCTCTCTCTCTCTCCTCTCTCTCTCTCTCTCTCTCTCTCTCTCTCTCTCTCTCTCTCTCTCTCTCTCTCTCTCTCTCTCTCTCTCTCTCTCTCTCTCCTCTCTCTCTCTCTCTCTCTCTCTCTCTCTCTCTCTCTCTCTCTCTCTCTCTCTCTCTCTCTCTCTCTCTCTCTCTCTCTCTCTCTCTCTCTCTCTCTCTCTCTCTCTCTCTCTCTCTCTCTCTCTCTCTCTCTCTCTCTCTCTCCCTCTCTCTCTCTCTCTCTCTCTCTCTCTCTCTCTCTCTCTCTCTCTCTCTCTCTCTCTCTCTCTCTCTCTCTCTCTCTCTCTCTCTCTCTCTCTCTCTCTCTCTCTCTCTCTCTCTCTCTCTCTCTCTCTCTCTCTCTCTCTCTCTCTCTCTCTCTCTCTCTCTCTCTCTCTCTCTCTCTCTCTCTCTCTCTCTCTCTCTCTCTCTCTCTCTCTCTCTCTCTCTCTCTCTCTCTCTCTCTCTCTCTCTCTCTCTCTCTCTCTCTCTCTCTCTCTCTCTCTCTCTCTCTCTCTCTCTCTCTCTCTCTCTCTCTCTCTTCTCTCTCTGTCCCTCCTCTCTCTCTCTCTCTCTCTCTCTCTCTCTCTCTCTCTCTCTCTCTCTCTCTCTCTCTCTCTCTCTCTCTCTCTCTCTGTCCCTCCCTTCTCTCTCTCTCTCTCTCTCTCTCTCTCTCTCTCTCTCTCTCTCTCTCTCTCTCTCTCTCTCTCTCTCTCTCTCTCTCTCTCTCTCTCTCTCTCTCTCTCTCTCTCTCTCTCTCTCTCTCTCTCTCTCTCTCTCTCTCTCTCTCTGTCCCTCCCCTCCCTCTCTCTCTCTCTCTCTCTCTCTCTCTCTCTCTCTCTCTCTCTCTCTCTCTCTCTCTCTCTCTGTCCCTCCCTTCTCTCTCTCTCTCTGTCCCTCCCATCTCTCTCTCTCTCTCTCTCTCTCTCTCTCTCTCTCTCTCTCTCTCTCTCTCTCTCTCTCTCTCTCTCTCTCTCTCTCTCTCTCTCTTTTCTTTCTCTTCCCTCTCATCTCTCTTCCCTCTCATTTCTCTCTTCCTTCTCTCCCCATTCTTTTCTTCTCCTATTAATACTTTCTGTGTTGATTCTTCATCTACCAGTCTCTCTCTACCAGTCTGTCTGTTTGTCTGTCTGTCTGTCTCCATCTGTCTGTCTGTTTGTCTCTGTCTCCCTTTCTACCCATTCTTTTCTTTTCCATTTAATACTTTCTGTGTTGATTCTTCATCTACCAGTCCTGCGTGTCTGTCCCTCTCTGTATGTCCTTGTCTGTCTGTCTCTGTCTCTCTCTTCTCCCCATTCTTTTCTTCTCCTATTAATACTTTCTGTGTTGATTCTTCATCTACCAGTCTCTCTCTACCAGTCTGTCTGTTTGTCTGTCTGTCTGTCTCCATCTGTCTGTCTGTTTGTCTCTGTCTCCCTTTCTACCCATTCTTTTCTTTTCCATTTAATACTTTCTGTGTTGATTCTTCATCTACCAGTCTGTCTGTCTGTCTGTCTGTCTCTCTGTATGTCTGTCTGTCTGTCTCTGTCTCTCTCTATCCCCATTCTTTTCTTTTCCATTTAATACTTTCTGTGTTGATTCTTCATCTACCAATGTCTCTCCAGGAGTGTCTTGTCTTCCTCTTTTTAGTCATTTGTATATCAGTATTCTGGTATATTCTGGACTCTAGATATGTTTATATTCTGTTTTACATACCCATTTTCAATAAGCTTTATCCTTTAAAGCTTCTCCATTCTTATCTACTTCTCAAAATTAAAAAGAATAATTAGTGTAAAATATGACACTGACCCTGTGCATTAGGTTTTAAAATCACATCCTTTTGAAGAGTGACTTTAAATCATCAATTACATTAAATGAATTGTGAAATTATTTTCATCCATATTTTTCAACACTTTTCTTTTCTTGTAAACTTTATTTGTGGGCAAAGTAAGAAACATCCAAATTCTAGTAAGTAATGTTAGCTTTATAGCCTTAGTTATATACTTAAAAAGAAGCCATTTTGCTTTTAAATTATTGCTTACTCAATCCTCTAACTACCAATATATCAAGGTTCCTGTACATTATATTGCACAACTACTACACAAAATGCAGTATATGAATTAAAGCTTAAAAAGTTTCACAAAATATATGTTACATCTATCAGGCCAGTTCCAGATTGCTTGGTTGGCTGTGAGTGATCTCCTTATCTCATATAGGATGCCAGGTGTTCAGCAGTAAACTCATCTGGGTTCACAATATAACGAAACTATTTTATTGTGGCTGATTGTGAAGCACAAAGTTTCAGTGAGGTTGTTAGAGGAGCCTATTTATGATATATCAGGCTATTTGAACAACTTTCAAAGAAAACTGAGCCAGTATCCCTCCAAATACCCTTTTCATGTGGTCTCAAAGTACTCACTTTTAGAATCATAGGCAGGGCTCCTCTCAGATATAGACTGCCCCATTTATAGATATTGTTAAATGATGCTGCTTGTTCTATCCCATGCTTCTGTGAAAACTCTACATTTTGCCTCAACCCAGCATAAACCTTGACATTTCCTTGATGGATGGATCCCTCTGTGTACTTTGTAAACCTCTTTACTGTTAGCAAAACAAATTTATTCCTCTATAACTTTCACAATATGATGGGGGTTAATGGTTAAAACAAATAAATGTGCTAGACATTTAGGGTCATATAGTACTATGGTAAAGTACTGTGGCAAAAAAAGATAAAAATTACTTAATGATTAGGATAAGTGGACAGAAGAAGGGGGTGAAGGCTTTTCTCTGCTCATAGTTCTTTGACATTTGGCTAAAACTGTGCTTTAACCCATTCGCGCCGGGTAAATATGAACAAAAAATGGGAGAAATGCTGTGTTCATTTTTCATATTTTTTAATGAAATTTCTCTACACTAGATGGCTCTGCTTTACCGGATTTCATTTGGCGGGAAAATGCATTTTTAATAGTGCTATGAATATCGATGGTTATTTTTATTATAAACATTATAGTTACTCTAATGTTATAAACATTAGTAACAGCAAAATAAGATAACGCAAAATAATTTCGTAAATTAAAGAAAAGGGTAAACAGACGAGACAGGCAGTACAAGTGCAAGTGGAGCCATCTATGTTTGTAAACAAGCAAACAAGTAAACTCAAAGTGGGCCCGTCATGTATACGTGACGCCCAGCGCGAATGGGTTAAACTTAATGAAATCAGTTTGCCAAATTATTTGACACAATAACTTAGTTATTTTCATTTAAATAGCTAAACACATGTAATAATCCAAGACATGGTTAATGGTTATTGGTTAATATGCAAATAAATCTGCTGGACATCAAAAATAATTAAGTAAGCTCCTTTAGATTATATACTTTATTACCAAATATGAAGCCAGTCCAATTACAGATAAATCTTTTACAATCTAATATACAATAAGAACTAACAATCTGTAAATTCAGGAGTAAACTATAGGCTTTATAATAAAAAAAACTTTTGCTACACAAGTAAAACTGTTGTACTTGAATGTATGCTTTTTTTCTTCTTTTTTTAATATAATGGACTAAACATCAATTCACTATTCATATTGACATTCTTCAGTATAAGATACGAATAAATGAACAAATTATCAGTCATGTTTAACTTGTTGATGTATACATGCTTTGTCCATTTTGGTTCGGTTCTATCCATTTTTCTTTCTATTTTACAAAATGAGATAAATGGTAGATATACCTAACAACCTATTAACTCCATTCCTTGCATTTTCAGAAAGAAAAAAATCTTTTTGTATTACTATTATCATTGTTACTAACTTTGTAATAATAATAGTATTGTTAATAAAGATGGTAAAAGTGAAAAAAATCCCTAAAACTCCAGGAATGGTGTAAACAGGTGGGATAAAACAATCACAAATTGCAATGAACTCCTTGATTTCAAAAGTATAAGGGAATAAAAAACAAAATAAACATACACATATATTCATCTACATAAAAAATGTGGATTGTAAAGTTCCATAGCCCAAGGTATAAAAATAATAACCATAATAAAAAATAATAAAATACAATGTTTTTGGTTATCAAAAGCCTATACATATAGTAATGATAATATACATATACAAATATCAACTGGATCATGTATATAAAGAAATCAAGAACCAAAGATTAAATATAATATTGATACTTAACTTCTTATCTAAATATCAAATAAGATCATTTATTCAAAGTTAATTACATATGGTTATACTTCTTATTATTCACTGGACATTTTCACAGTAAAACTTGTTTTTTTTTTTATTAAGCTAAGTACCAAAAGTAAGACAGAAAATACCAGGTACATAACTCCTTTTTAACATATTTAATACTCTTCCTCCACAAAAAGATATCCTAGAACTCAAAGAAGTCAGGTTCATTATTTATTCCTTCTCAAAATTAACGACTTAAAATATTTGAAGTGGAGAAAAAGAAAAATTAGGACTGTCCTGACATCTGTTTAATTTCTGAGATAAGGCGACGGTTGTACTCTCTTGGCTCAAGAGGGCTGCAGGCTACTACTGTTGTCTTCAGTCTGCTCTCATCCTGTGGGAAAGCCAAAAAGAATGGGGTTAGCATCATTATTACAATCATTATTATCATCATCAATTAGAATAGTACTATTACTACTACTACTACTGCTACTGTTACTATTACTATGGTTATTGAGAAAAAATATAGAAAATATAATGTATATATAATCTATTATTATTATTACTATCATTATCTATTCATTTATTTATTTTTAATGTGTGGTAACACTGAAAATCTAAAGAATATCATTGTAGTGGCGATGAAATTGAAAACCAAACTAAGCAGCATGGATGTCTAAACCACATGCATGCTCAAAAACACAAAAAATCTACTTAACTTTAGGGAAGCTTATGAAATCCAAACCAAACTAAACTTACATTGTAAGTCTCCATTTTGACACGAAGCTTGAAGGAAAAGTTCTTGAAAGCTGCTTCCGTGAAGATGTTTTGGAAGTTGTCTGGGTTATTCTCTCTCATGAAGCCTAATTCTGAGCTGGTGGTTCCAAGGAGCATCTCAGCCTGATCTTGGAAAACTGTGACCCATTGATTGTCCGATATATCAGCAAGGTTGGCCTGTAGGGGAAGACACAGGAAAAAGATGTTGCATGAAGTGGAGTGTTTAGTCTTTTAAAAAGGTTATCGTATAAGGGAAGGTGGAAGTATTCTGTGAAAATAAATATTTTCATACGAATGATAACTCACAACAACAACAAAAAAAATCTGCAAAAAAAAAAAATAGATCCACAAAACTCACAGACAACATCAGCCGCCAGTTGAAGCTGTCATATTCACGGTTACACTTTTCACATCTGTAAAGACCATTGTTCATGTCGACCACCTTCTTGTTGCAACCATCTGAGGGGCACGCTGAATAGAGGCAGTTCTCCTTGCGTATCAACACAACAGAAGCCTTCGTGGTGTAATAATCGGCTTGATCTCCGCTACCCAAGTTCTCCAGCTTGGCCTCACCAAAGGTCTTGAAGTTGGAGCCCATACCTAGGAAAGAAGGAAGGATACACATTTTAATTTATTTTTGAGAAAGAGACAAAATAATAAATAATGACACACACACACACACACACACACACACACACACACACACACACACACACACACACACAAAAAAAAAAAAACGGTCATAGGAAGTTCCCAATATAAAAACATTTGAATTTTTCTTAATCTGCTACAAAATCATTTACCCATAAGAAGATTCTGAATTCTGTTGCTCTGCTAGATTTTTTAAAGATTTTATTATTTCATTATATCTTATTTTTCTTATTGATTACTATAACAATTATATTGATGATGATATCTAAGGTTTCTCACCTGCTGAACCACCACCACGCTGATTGGAAAGGTTGACTGTCTCTGCTGTGTTGCCTCCATTATCAAACCATCCCTTCAATTTGTGGGCTTCACGGATATCTGGGTTGATCTACGAAGAAAAACGTATTAAAGATATATTCCATAATGCACCAAAGTTCCAAGTATAATACCTTACATGACAATTATTACTCTTTTTTTCTTTTTTAAACAACTTTTGTAGGTTCATGTTATTGAGAACATGCAAGAAAAAGGGAGGTGGAGAGGGAGAGATCAGAACCATTTACATCACAACTATTAACAGAGGGACTACAAAATACCTGCAGTGTTGATGATGACATCAAAGACAAAGAACGCCCATTGAAATCGGACAATTTTGCGCCCTTCACAGCCAACACAGGTTGCTGCGATCCGTCAAAGTTCTCTGCCTGGCGTCCCCAAAGGGTAAGACGTACCTGAAATGTCATGAAGAGCTTACAAACTTGTTTCCTCAATCACTTCGTTCACTTAATGAATGGTTCAATAATTCCTGATCATGACCAGATGATCCATTTCCTCTAAATTCATTTCATTATCCAAAATTGTAAAAATCGTAGAGTGAAACTTACCTCTCTGTTTGTATCATCAACCACCTGAACGTCTCTCTTCCTAAGTTCTTTGCCACTGGCCTTTGACGTAATAGAGGTTACATCCATAGCTTCCTTGCAAACACCAATAACATCTGGAAACGGTAGAAAGGCAAAATATGTTACATATATATCAAAAAGGCAAAGCATAACCTACTTCTTATGAAATGAACATGGATCTCTCTTCTTTATACTCCAAGAGAAAGAAATTAAATAGAAATTATGCCAAATACAGTTAAAGCTAGTAGCGTTCTTGATGTGAAAAACTAAACAGTGGTCAGTCAATCAGCACTCTCAATGGGAATACAGCATTACGAGACTTAAAAACTACAGCATTTCATGGTTTGAAGGAAATCTATGTCATTAGAATTACTAACTCAATAAAGATGTGCCATCAGAACTTACCAATGATGGTGTCTTTCTCCAGAGACTCCAGCTGATCCAGAGGGACAAAGTTGAACTGCATGGTAGGAATGTCACTTGCTTCATGACAGGGAGTGACCTGTAGATTCACAGAAACTTTAGATATTCACATTATCCTTTATCAAAACAATGATAAAAACAATAAAATAAAATTATAGCAAACTGGGTAGGTGAAATATTGAACTATATGTGCCCACTGCAATATCTTTCAATTAGTGTCAAAACTTTACAGCAATCTTTTATTCAGATAGATATAATACAATGGATACTGAGCAATCATACCTCTGTCATCTTGTTGAAAGTCATCTCATAATCGTTATTGAGGGTGGAGTACTGTTTGTTGGCGGTTTTGAGAGTGCATCCAGAGATGAAATACACTTTGTTAACCTGTTGATAGAAGATGGAGTTAATGTCACAAACAACACAAGTAAATCATAGTTTCATATGGAAAGAAAGAAAGAAAGCAAAGAAGAAGGAGAAGAAGGAGAAGGATAAGAAGGATGATGATGATGATTATTGATGATGATGATGATTGATGATAAGATGCTTTGCTATATCATCTATCCTTACCTCGATCATATCCATGAACTTGTCCACCTGTTCATTGAAAGCAGTAGCCCTGATTTCTCCAGACTCGTCCAACAGGTCCATTGAGAAGAGCTTTCCTTCACCACGAGAATTTGACCAAGTGCGCAGGTCAGACTTGTGGGTGACACGAGCACGGATGGTCCACCTGTTATGAATGAATTTTAATTAGTGGGTGGTAGTTTCGAGCAGCATTCCTGAATGTGGTATACAAGTCTCAGTCTCAGTCTCTCTCTCTCTCTCACTACTATTCTGTAGACATGGAAGACAAAAATGTTGTACATAACAGAATCATTTACTTTATTCATAGATTTTAATTACATTCACAGAAATAAAAAAATCATTCTTCAGGCTACTATTATTATTATTAAACAATAATAACTGTACCTTTAAAAAATATTCTAGATAATACAGAATAAATGTTATATATATATATATATATATATATATATATATATATATATATATATATATATATATATATATATATATATATATATATATATACATATATACATATATAATATATATATATATATATATATATATATATATATATATATATATATATATATATATATATATATATATATATATATATATATATATATTATCAGCAATAATAGCATTACTACTAATAATAACAATTACCCCAATGCGCACGGGTGGCAAGATTACAATGCCATGCCCACTATAATAAAAGGTTTATCTATTATCTTTACACGTAGATGGCTCTACTAGTGCTTAGTCACCAAAGAGTCAGCTATTAGTCTTACCTATCTCATCTGTTTACCCTTTTCATTCATTTTTTGAAAGAGTCACTGCTATTATTTTATTGTCTTAGATGTTATTAATATTTTAATGACAATTTAATAATCAAAATATCAATAAGAATGACAATGTCAATATTAATAGTAATGGAAAGAAAAATGCATTTTCCCAACAATTCAAGGAATGGGGGCCAACTGTGGAGCATCTGTATGTTACAAAACTCACTAAAATCTAAAGGGGACAGTAAATAACCCCACTAACAATGGGCTTACAACAGCCACCAAAACAACAACAACAACAACAACAACAATAATCTAGGGTACCATAACTCACTTGTTTTGATAAGGTGTAAGCAAGCTGATGGGGTGAACATTACCCCCAGCGGGAGTTCGAGCCGGCGAAGCGCTTGTGTTTGGAACGTTGCGCTGGGCTAAAGGATTGCGTTGGGGTGCATCACCTGCAAAGGTCAGCAGATCAGGCCCATATTATATAAGAGAAAAATAAATCAAAACTTGAGGTATCCAAAGGTGGTATACACTGATAAACAAAAAGTAAACGAACATAATACAAAACGTTAAAACAAAACATTAAGCTCTTCTATGAACAAAAATAAATCAAAAAACAAAACAAAAGCTATGTAACATAATACTAACAATAAAATAGCACAAAACAAAAACAAATAAATATAATAAATTGCAATGATGCTGATAACAAAGACATACAAAAAGATCATCTATTCTATTGGATATATACTTACAAAAAGTGAAATAACATTAACAGTTAAAGGAAAATAAATTTAAAATTCTCATTAGCAAAACCTAAAAATGTAGAGTCAAAAAAAAGACTAGAAAGGGAAATTAAAAAAGAAAGGAAAATAAGGAGACAGAGAAAAATGAGAGAGAGAGAGAGAGAGAGAGAGAGAGAGAGAGAGAGAGAGAGAGAGAGAGAGAGAGAGAGAGAGAGAGAGAGAGAGAGAGAGAGAAAGAGAAAGAGAAAGAGAAAGAGAAAGAAAAGAGAAAGAGAAAGAGAAAGAGAAGAGAGAGAGAGAGAGAGAGAGAGAGAGAGAGAGAGAGAGAGAGAGAAATTAAATACAAAGAAAAGAAAGGAAATAGAATGAAAGAAAAATATGAAAATGAGAAAGCATTAATAGAAAGAAGCATAGTTAGAACAAAAGAAAGCAAACAAAGAAAGAGAACAAGAGCTGCAGAAAATCAAAACTGTTAAATCACTAAGCATAATGGCCACATGCACCATACCAGTTTGGGCAGCTAAAGGTGTTGTTCTTGGTGCGGGAGCTGCCTCCTGTTGCGGATTCTTATTGGGGTCAAACACTACTGGTTCTCCAATCTTGCCTCCAACTTCCTCAGCTGTTCGCACTACAGTCAGGTCCAGAATGATCAAAACCTGAAATTAAATAAATAGGTCTCACCTGTAAAATCCATTAGGGTTGCCAAATTTGCCTAATTCATAAGATATGACACATCCTAAGGTTCCTATAAAGTTTTCCTGAAAAAGCCTTTTATAGCTCCCTGATTTTACTCTCAAATTTTACAACAACAACAACAACAACAAAAACAAAACTTCTACCACAACAAACGAATCCTTCACTTTACCTTCTTGTTGTTCTGAACCGTGTTGCAAACATATCTGTTCATTTTGATGACGCAGTTGTTTGCAATCTCTCCACTTGCCACTTTGCTATTGAGCTGCGTGGCCAACATGGCAAAGCTGCTTGACCACTTGCCATCGGAGAGCAAGATGCGAAAGCGCTCCTGGGCACCATTAGGCATCCGTTTCATGGACTGTAATGCAAGAGGATAAATTTAATGCGCATATACTTAATACACATATTTGTATGTACTTATGTTTGTATGAATGCATGTGTGTGTAACTATTAACTTAATAATATTCAGGTATTAATAATAAAATCATAAATTTTCCTATCCAATACTGGTTCTCAAAACTACAGTTAATTAATTATAATTCTGCAGTATATGTATGTACACAAATCTCATTTTAACAACTTACCAAGATCTGCACAATGGGATCTTCTGGGTGAGCCCCATTGGTAATATCCTGTTGGTGGAAATACATGAATGATTAATCCTTAAGAAATTGAAAATTGGCACCTAGCAGATAGTCAATACCCATATCACTTCCACTTTTACTCAAATTATATACAAATTATATACATGTGTTATTTTAGCTGTACTATGCAGATTAACTGATCTGATGCTGCCTCTTGTTTGGATCTTTATCAATATGGCATCCTAATTAAATACTAACATTATCAAATGGCAATGTTATTACTGATAAAGATTTTTCCTTGTGTGCGCATCTAGCAAAGTTGTATATACAATCAGATAAAAGCATTAAAAAATAATTAAGCAATTAGTTAAATAATCCATTACATAACTATATATATACTCCATTATATAACTGAAGAAGAAGACGATAATAAACACCATGGGTACAGCTGCAGCAGCCTCATAATTGCCGCGAAATGATGGAAAGATCCGCTGCTGTGTGTCTTGATTCGTAATTTATTCTTAATGTTGAGTTACCTTAATTCTTAATGGAGTTCTAAAGGTCGCAATTTCTGTTAAGTTAGCAGATTCTAATAAAAGCCTCGCTCCCCCCCTCCCCCCATACCCACGTCTTGAGAACAAATAGAATAAAGAGATAAATAAACAAATAAGGAATAAGCAAAAGGCAGGAAAGGATAGGTAATTTTTTTTTTTTTTTAGAACGTCGCTCTCTCAGTAACTGATACCTTTTTCTGGACACTATGTAATATAAGGTAGTGGCAGAGTTGGGTAACAAAACCTACATGAAATGAGAGAACAATACAAACCAAGACAAAAGTTCTTCTGTAGCAACATGTGTGCAAATGCTTCCCAAGGCTGCTCTGTGTTAAAAAAGAAAAGAGAAGATCCCCATTGTTGGCCAAGTCGCTCATCTTGTTTACATTGCGAGGGTGAATTCTAGACGCATATATACTACCACAGGGGGGGGGGGGGTAGGTCGCCCATTTGCACAAGGGAACAAGGCCTAGAATCGTTGAAAGCAGTGGATTTCGTGCAGAAAAATATCAAAAATTGTTTCGAAAAGTAATCCTTCTTTCCTTTTCTTTTACATACAGCAGCCTCGGGATGCAATTGCACACACATTGCCATAGAAGAACTTTGTCTTGGTTTGTATTGTTCGATCATTTCATGTAGGTTTTGTTACCTAATCCTGCCACTACCTTATACTACATATTGACCGGTTATCATACTTTTTTTTTCTAACAATTTACGGCATTAATTTCTTTCGCAGGATCATCTGTCTAGGAAATTACTAGGAAATGATAAAAGCTGACGTTTAATTCCTGTTTCGTACGTGAAGAAATACAAGACAAAACCGAAAATCAACAAATACGTAATTTAATGACTAAAATAACAACAAACAAGTGAAAGAGATAGAGAGACGAGAGACGTGAAATAAAGGATATATATAGGAAATAAGACACACAAAAACCGAGCCTATTTCTCCCAAAATAAGAAAAAAAAATTCCACACCAACTCCCACGAACTCAGGACCCAAAACACCAACCCCAATTTCTCCCTTATTTCCCCTTTATCACCTCTCCCTCACTCCCCAAACACCCGTCATGACACTCACCACAATCACGCCGTTGCTGAGGCCGCTCATGCTGGCAAAATCGAGCCACGAATCACAAGAAAAAAGAAGAAAAAGAAGAGAAGAGAAGAGCTCCGTCCTCTCTCCCGCCGCGCTTGTCACAACACGACGTTTTGGCGCGAAAGCCATTTTGTCGGCCGCCGGAGCGTTCGTTGGTGGGTGAAATTTTGGGGTTTTATTTTGTTGTTCTGGGTTTGTAGGGTTGTTTTTTTGTTTTTGTGGGGTGGGTTTTTTTTTGGGTTGGTTGGTTTGGTGTGGTTTGGTGGGGTTTGTGTTGTTATTTGAGTGGGGTTAATAGGTTTTATGTGATTGAGATGATTGTTTTTTTTAATTTCTGGTTTTATTTTGGTTTGTTTTTGGGTTTAGGTTTGTTTCTATTGGTATTTTTTGTTTCTGTGTGATTTTGGGGGGTTTATATCGTTATTAGGCGAATTCGTGTTTTAATAACTTTTACGAGATTGAGATA